AGCCAATCAAATCGCGTGATAAGCTGGGAGAAAACCAGACCGCAGTTCATCTTTCTCAGTTTTCCTGATATAGAGAAATTAGTTGTGCTTGTTAGAAATCACCTGGTTCTTTATGTACCAGGTTACGCTATAAACATTACGGAGAAAAACCGGAGGATACCACGTCATCTCGGAGGGAGGATTGTGCAAGAGACGATTGTGTGGCGTGAGACTGGTATGTTTCGCCTGATTTGGGGATTTTAGTATCCAGTTTTAGCGTCGGTTGTAACATTTCTTGTGATGTCGGTGGTGCGGGAGATTCTTGGGTCGTCTTTTGTGGTGTTCGCGAAAAAATCCCCCAAGCTTTCAGACACTTGCCAGTCGTCCAAGATTTTCAAGATTCTTGTTGTAATTCTTGCTGCGTTGGACGGGCCTACATCTCCCTGATATTTCTAATGGGATATCCTTTGGGATCTAGATACCGCCAAACCATTTTGTGGTTTGGGTTTTTGCCTCGTTGTCCACTTGCAGTGATAGAAGTATTTATGCTCTTTCAAGAGTCAGTTGGAAGTTGGCTTTTAAAGAGTGCATGCCCCAGTTTAAAATAAGTGTTGCTGGTCTCCGGTGTGTTATTCTAGTTGTGAGATAAGCAGCAGAAGTTAAGCATAATGTGATGGTGTTGGCTATATGTGGTATATTTGTAATCTCTTCTTTATATATTAGTTATATATATTTTGTTTTAGATTTTGGAGCATATTTTCTTTAGATTGCTAACTCCCATTGCTACCAGCTTAGTTGTTTAGGAGGGAAAAAAGACACAATTAGCAGAAACTCAAGGCCAAGCACGGAACATTAAACGAAAGTATCGAGACACTCTTTATTTCTACTTATTAAGAAGACATAACATATCGAATAGGTGTAAGGGAAACTTCTGTGTAGCAATGCAGTGGGAGTCACAGACTCAGGAAAGAGACACAGGAAGAGCAGGAGCTTTGATGTCAAACACTGATGGTTTATTTGGAGCTTCGGCCGGAGAATTCACAAAACAAGTCCAAGAGTCAGAGGTTCTGACTTCACGGTAGAGTTGCGACGTCAATTCTGAAGAACTCTACCCCAAACCCATGTATTTAGCTAGTTCAGAGAGAATAATCAACATTGTGCATAACAAGGTAGAATCATAACACCTCTATCAGCTGACGCCAACAGGCAGGAACAGGGAGACAGAACACTGAGAGCACAGCAGCCAAGGTTACAGGTGCGTGTGCTCAGTCAGGACAGTTTGAACTGATAAACTGGGTCAAAGTTATTTCCCCAACAAAGGCATATTTTCATAACAAGCATTTTGACTTTTCATAGCAGAACACTATAACATTTTCCTATTAGAGATCTCGATTGACATTTTACTAAATCCTATTAGACGAGGAAATGAATTACACTGTCATGTACGTGCATTAAGTATAGAGCTAGAGGCAATTAGCTTTGCTAGCTTAGCAAAATGAAAGCAGGGGAAACAGCACCCTGGCTCTACTCACGGTTCAGAAATACACATTTACCAACATACTGAGATGATAGCTAAGCATGTTTTATGCCATTTGTTTAATTGATATGCAGAAAGAAATATAGAAATGTACACTATCTGTGCTTCCAGATTTGATATTATTTTACATATTATTTTTTATCAGTTACATCTTAACTGCAGGCCCTCAATTGGTTGTATTATTGCACATGATTTTTTTGCTACACCTCTGCGATGGCCGAGATCTGCAGATTTTTGGATATTTGTTTATACCGCTCCAGTTATCACCTTTAGTGAATTAAAACCTTGCCTTCTCACTAGCTGCTTGAAAACTTAGGGGTACTGAATTTGGTTTATTTACTGTTTATCAGACCAGAAATGAGAAAAATGTAAGCTAGCTGGAGCATCCTGAGGTCACTCAGCCTAACGTCCCGCCGCTAGGAGACCACTTCCCCTTCACTAGCAAATCTAAAAACAGATATGGAGATTTCTATCAAACATTTACAAATCTGATTACGCCTACACAGATCAAAATACAGTATCACAATTCTCTACACACATTTACAGATAGTTGTTCTACAATAATGGCTCTACACTGACTTTAAAGTGAAAACTAACCGGCAGTTGTCAGAGACTAACACACGCCTCACAGACAAAGTGGTTTTATACAAGAATTGGGAAAATATAAACCCCCTTGATCCCACACAAACGCAACTAAAAACAGACCATCAGTGCAGATCAAACAAATCTCTCTGGACGTGTCCTCCCCTCATAGCAGTCCCCCCGAGGATGTGGAACTGACGGGGAGGAATTTAAGGGCGGAAACGCTCGTTCCATGACCACACACACACTTCCTCCCCAAGGACTGTTAAGTCCCAGCAGGCGGTTGTTTATTTTCCCACAACAAGTAAGGGATAGCCTTGCAGAAGCTATTCTTAATGAGGATGATCCTCAGGGGGGTGTTCAGTGAAAATAATGCAACATGACATTTGTTGCACGTATGAGACCTGAGCTGTTTTTGGCATCAACTCCCATCCAAAAGATGTGACCCCTCTTTTTGTTCTCACACTTACATATTCCGGCACCCAGAGGCAGACTCATCCGAGTGCACAGGTCAAACCAACATGGGAACACATTCATTGTTACAGTAACTTGCGTATGTGTGTGTCTCCCTCCTCCAGGTGACATGGAGGAGTTCGAGGCTCTGTGGCTGACGGGCATCTGCCACAATGAGAAGAACGAGGTGATGAGCAGCCAGCTAGACGTGGACAACATGGCGGGCGTCTTCTACATGCTCGGGGCCGCCATGATTCTGTCATTACTCACTTTCATCTGTGAACATTGGTTCTACTGGCAGCTGCGTTTCTGCTTCATGGGCGTGTGCACGGGACAGCCCGCGGCCACCTTCACCATTAGCAGAGTGAGTGTGTTTTATTTTGGGTTTGACCTTTGTCCTCCTCACAGAAAGATCACAGCAGTGGTTGTTTTCAAACCACTGGCTGTGGTTGAGGTGTATTGAGTCAGTCAGCAGGATACGATGACTCACCTGACTTAACCTGTGGCTTTTTTAGCCCAGGCAGGCAGTTGATAAACAACAGAACACAAGTCAACAGCTGACTGTCCTAACGCAACCTGACATTTTACATTTGTTTAAACACACTGCAAGTCAGAGGAGAATCCTATTACAATAACATAATATTATATATACAAATATAAATGTAACCCTATAAGACCCAAACCAAAACTTAGTTTATGTGCCTTTTACAGTTACATAATTAGTTTAAAATATCGTTTTGCACATTTACCTTATTAGAATAACCAGGACAATTGAAATACACAGAAAATGTTTGATGTAATTAAAACATTGTAAACTTTTACAGCCCATTCACCTATAAGGGACAGTGAAATTTGATGCATAAATAACACATTAATGTGATACAAAACACAAGAAGCAGATACAAAAAGCATCATTGCTCTTAAAGACATCGCCTACTGATATGCTGATTGACAGTGAGACCAACCAGCATTATTATGCAACAATCACTTAGACTCCAGTCTTTGACAGGGTTAAAAAATTGTGCAGTCTTTGTGAAGGGTCCATAATTAATTGACTTAATGTTGCTGAAATAAAAGCTACTTACTATGCTGCTCATTCTCAGCCGGTGACCTGAAGCTGTGTTTGTGGATGTCGCAGATCTCCTCTCGGCGTGGTTACGACTCTGCTCAGATGGGTCACTAAACAACGCGTCTCAGTGTTATTGTTGCAGGCCATATAAATAATCACTTGAGGTGTAATTAATATGCATAATGCTACCTTTTAAGAAAGAGAGAGAGGGGTGGTGTGTTTGTTGTCGAATTCAAATTGTCTCAGTTATTGTTTGCCTGAGAAAAGGGCAACCAATTGTATGTGTTTGGTGTTTGTAATTGTAATGTAATTTGGTTTACACCAACTCAAACTAACCTGAGGCAATTTAAAACACAGATGTGGCCTCGAGCACTTCATAAACACACAATCATTTGTCTGTCTTTGTTGAATTGGACAAATGTCTTTGTGTTTCCTTCAGAAACTCAATTTTTATGCAAATCAAAAGCACTACTTTTTGCGTTGATCCGTGACAATTCACTCTTACAGTAGCCCTTACTTGCAGGAGGCTGATTTCGCTTGTTGCATTACAACATCCATTTTAAGTGCATACACCTTTCAGAAGGTACTTCTGCATTTTATAATTTTCCATGCCTGGTTAAACACACGGTGTGGGATTTGAACATCTTTTTCATCATATACAGTTTATTGAAAGTGTAAGGATGGACATGTGATGAAAGTACAAAGGGCTAATAAAACACAGAGGAAGAAAGAGAGATCAGTTAGCAAGGGTCATGATAAAGACTAAAACGGGTGCCAGGACAAAGGCAGAGTATAGAAAAGAACAGACACAGTTCTGGTACCTTTCCCAGGAGCTGTAGTAGCTATAGATACAGAGAGATAAAGACAGACAATCCCATTGGAGTGGCTGCCGCTCACCCGAGCACCCGGAAACGGAGATAAAACAGACACAAAGAGAGAATGGAGGCATGAAAGAAAAGAGGGTTGAAGATTCAGATTCATGAATGTGGCTCAGTGACAGGGAAAGTGACTAAGAGACAGACAGAAACAGTTTCTGACAAGTTGACGCCTTTGAGGAGCGTTGGCCCGCGTGCTGGCTGGTGGGTAGCATGTCCTCGACCTTTCGGATTTGGCTGTCACATCAACCACAGATTCCCTCAGCCACATTTTAAGCACGCTTGTTTGACTTCCCCCGCAAAAGGCTTTCCCCTCTCTCGAAGATCCTACTTACCAATAAACCAAAAGCAACACACATACTAATGGGGAATGACATTTCAATAGGACGATTGTCTATGCATGTGGCTCTTGATATCAGTGGTGGAAGAGGTATTTGGATCCTTTACTTAATTGAAAGTACCAATACAGCAATGTCAAATCACTCCATTACAAGTAAAAGTAAATAAGTATTAGCAGCAAAATCTAGGTAAAGTATTAAAAACGAGATGATTGATGGGAGAGGAAAGAAAACCTTTTTTTTTTGGTGAGATAATCGATCACTTGAAATGAAACCATGTGAGAAGTCAAGAGAGAAAAATAGATATTTTGAAATACATCAACGTTCCAAATGTACTTGGCTTGACATTTATAGGACATTTAACAAAACCTTTACAAAATGATTATTTCCTTGACAGTGTAAAAGGAAAAAGAGTAAAACAATGCTGCGGCAGAGAGCCTGTAGCACAACTGCATTTAAATAACATTGATTAAAACTATTGATTGGCAGTCAAACGCCTGAGCTTTGATCGGCTCCCTCCCTTCTCTGTGTCTGAGGGTCCACGCTGCTCCCTGGAGAAAAGTCATTTATGAACTCAGCCCCTATTACTGTTTAATAGTGTGTAAACAAGAGGGTGGTCAGGGAGAACATGGCAATGCATTAACCTCTCTCTGCCTCTCGCTCTCTCTGTTTCCCTCTCTCTTGATTTCTCTCTCTCTCCCTCCCTCTAAATATGCATCTGCTGTTTGATTCCCTCTCTCTTACTTTTAACCCCCTTTGTTACCTGATTCCTTTCGACACATTTTACTGTAATTTTCCTCTTTATTGGGCTTCGTGCTTCTTACTTCCTCCCATGGCCTGTCTCACCCTGTCTTTCTCTCTCTGCTTCCCTTTTCTTATAATTTTCCCCCTCCAGGGTATCTGGAGCTGCATCCATGGGGTACAAATTGAGGAAAACAAGTCAACCATTGACTCGCCCTCGGACACCATGAAGAAGAACATGAACAACACCCACTCCAACATCCTGCGGCTGCTCCGCACGGCTAAGGACATGACTGCCGTCCCGGGCGTTAACGGCTCTCCGCACCCGGCGCTGGAGTACAGCCACAGCGCGCGTGAATCGACTATCTATGATATCCAGGAGCACCGGCGCAGCTTGGTAGGTCACCCTGCCGACTGCAAGACAGCGCCTCCCTACCTGCCAGAGGACAACATGTTCAGTGACTACATCAGCGAGGTGGAGAGGACTTTTGGGAACTTGCCCCTGAAGGACAGCAACCTGTACCAGGACCATTACCTGCACCACCACCCGGCCTCGGCTCTGGGTATGTCCGGCCCCGTGCCCAACAGACCGCGTAGCTTAGGCAGCACTAGCTCGTTGGAAGGTGGCATGTTTGATTGCGACAGTTTAGGGGGAGGGGTAGCGCCCATCTTCACCACCCAGCCCCGCCCCTCCATGACTCACAGGAATACCAATAAGTTCGACCTGATTGCCGGCCACGCCCCTGCGGACTCCGACCAGGGTGGGTTCAAGGGGAACAATGTGTACGGGAGGTTTTCTTTCAAAGGAGGCGCATCCAGCACGGGGCTCATCGGGGGTCATGACCGGTACTGTGGTGGGGGTGGGGCAGGCTCAGGGGGGGATGATGGGAACATTCGCTCAGACGTTTCGGATATCTCAACGCACACTGTCACCTACGGCAACCTGGAGGGCAACAACAAGCGGCGTAAGCAGTACAGGGACAGCCTGAAAAAGAGGCCAGCTTCGGCCAAGTGCAGACGGGAGCAGGACGAGATAGAGCTGAGCGGCCTCAGGAGGAGAGCCCACCACCACACCGTCCACCACCACTTCCCCCACGGGCCTCAGGCACACCGCACGGTCTCACCTCCCCTGGAGCGGAAGAGGGGAGGAGGAGGGGGTAATTCTTCACCTTTCGTATTCCGCAAAGAAAAGGAGAACCTGAGGGATTTCTATGCGGACCAGTTCCGCTCCAAGGAGGGCAAGGCCCAGTGGGAGCACGAGGGTGGAAGTGGAGGAAGCGGTGTGGGCGGTGGTAGTGGTGGTGGTATCTGTAAGAGCTTAGTTCCTGTAGAAGACTTCCTCAAAGGTAAAGGCAAGAAGCCGGAGTGTAAAGGTGGGCTCGGCACAGTGTCGGCAGGGCAGCAGGCCCACACCTGCTGGGAGAAGGGGGTCTCTGGGCTAGGAGGGGGGGGCATAGCAGGGGGTGACTGGGAGTGTCGTAATAGCCACAATGTGTGTCACCACGGAGGGGGTGGCGCTTGCCCGGCTAACGGGGTTGGGGGGAGCAGCAGTCGCCCCAGCTCCGCTAGCTGCAAACGCAGCGACTCCTGTAAGGTCCCACCGGGAAACCTCTACAACATCAGCGAGGACATCAACATGGTGTTCGCTGCAGGGAAGAGTAGCGTGGGACCGGCTCAACCTCAAACTCAGGCGCAGCGCAGGAAGCTAGGGCCAGGGGGGAGGGTGTTACGGAGGCAGCACTCGTATGACACATTTGTGGACCTGCAGAGGGAGGGGGCGGGTCGCATGGGAGGGGTTGGCAAAGGCGTTGGGGGGCCTTATGCCCAGCCCCGGAGTGTGAGCTTAAAAGACAAAGATCGCTCCATGGAGGGCCCCAGCCCTTACGCTCACATGTTTGAGAGGTATGCAGGGGAACGGGAGTCCTCCATGTTCGGAGGAATAGGCGGGGATAGGGCGAAGGGAGGCTCCTCCTTCAGCTTGTTCCGAGAAGGTGGGTTGCATCAGCGGTCGGTGGGGGAGAGAGACCTGAGGGACAGAGATAGAGCTATTTCAGGAGGTGGTGGTGGTGGCAGCAGAGGGGCCGGGACTTACTCCTTGTCTAAATCTCTCTACCCAGATAAGGTGAACCAGAACCCCTTCATCCCAACCTTCGATGATGACCAGTGTCTATTACACGGCGGCAAACCGTACTACATCAAAAAGCCACAGACGCAGCAACAGCAGCAGCAACTTCTCAACAACAGCCGGGGAGGAGGGGACTTCCGCGGCTCCATGGGAACGACTTCCTATTTGCCCGCGTCCGCCACAGCTGGGGTAATGTCCAATGTGGCCCCCAGGTTCCCCAACGATCTGTGTCTGGGCGGGGTAGGGGGGCCCATGGGGAACCACCACGGGGCCAGCAAGCTAATGCCTGTGGCCAGGGACACTTTGGGTTTGGGGCCGGGGCATAGACCCTTCAACGGTGCCAGCAATGGACACGTTTATGAAAAGCTCTCCAGCATTGAGTCAGACGTCTGAGGGTGAGGCAGAAAGAGAGGGAGAAGATGAAGTGGGTGAAGAAAAGAGGGGGAGAAACACACAGATGCTGATGACCTCTCTGTGTGAGGATGAGGAGACACTATACTGTGTGTGTTGTTCTCCGATAAATGGGAATGTAATTTGGACGATGCACAGAGGCCGCTGCAGGCTAAGCTGTGAAGTCCGGCGGGAGACAAGTTTTTAATGAGAAGAGAGGATTCTGGTGCTGCTCCAACACTCAGAACGGTTGGGAGGGAGGGGGAAAAGTGAAATCAAATCTCCAGTCTCTGCTCTCTTAACGTGCTCATTGTCTTTCCCTCCTTCCTGCAGTTCCTTAACGCCAAAACAAACATTTTGTTTGACAGAAATACAATCATGAATGAGAAATCAGCGCTTCTGTTGAAGTAACAGGGTAAACTAATAATAATTGTATTGATAATGTTGATAATATTATTGAATATTATTCCAGTGTTTAATGATGATCGGTTTGGATTGTTTTTTCAATTTTATTGATTTAAATAGTTCATGTTACATATTTGTATGATGTTAATTATTTCTTAGCTTACCAATGTTACAGGGGACTGGTAGACTTTTTTTGGGTTCCTGTAATTTGGACTCTTCTTTGCTATTTATTCTTCATGTTTGATTTTCTTTTTTACTTTTCTTACTCTTGAGTGCTGTGAAGTGTATGTGAAAGGCATGACTTGCTGAGTACATTCTATGTACTTATACATTTGCAAAGAAGGTCTTTTTTTCAGCTGCAGAAGCAACATCATCATACTGATTTGCCGTTTCCTCTCCTTTTTTCTGCTCGGCAGTACCAAATGGGTCTCACATTTTGAGCTGGACGTGCCTTAAAGGATAACTACTGATTTTTTACACACAAGGTCTGTTCTGTTGGTAGACAGATCCACCTGCAAAACAATTAGTCAAATTGATTTAAGTGTGAAAATACACCTGAAGAAGTCTGATGAGGGTTTCATAAGCATAACAGACTTTTAGGCATTTGACAGATGTAATAAAGCAGAATTTGCCGCCGTAGAGGAAGCTTAAATTCCTGCATTTATCCCAAACAATAGCAGGATTACAAGGGTTAAAACCACAGTGCCATAATAAACAAAACATTCCTGTTTTCCCCAAAAGTCAGCTACGACAGAGCCGCTGCATGAGAAAAAAGCTTCTTTTTCTATTATCTCCACCATTCAACTAAGTCCTTGAATTACAAAGAAGTTCAACTAGCTTCATCACTCCTCACCTCCTCAGTTCACAACTGGGACCCAGGATCCAACTGTCCATTAGAAACATGTAAATCACATTTAATATCCTCTTGTTGCTCTCATCACGTCTCACTTGGTCCAACTCAATCGGCCGTGACAGTTTGCTGCTCAGGACAGGCACATAATGGACTCAGAGCGAGGCCTCTGTTGCTGCGATGAGCTGCAGTAATGTTAATTATTTCACGATTACAGCTCTAAGCCCTGCCTGCTGTATTAGATGGTCCCATCTGAATAATGAGAGGGGAACAAGTCCACTCTGCTGGTGTAAAAGACCACAGGAAACTGGTACCTAGTCCCAAATGATCTCTTGATTTATTCTTGCAATTACTCATAAATAAGTAATTCTACCTTTTAAAATGGGGGGTTTTGGTACATGCAACTGTGCTCCCTATGATGCTACTTAATAGTTTTTCCCTGATAATTTGACATTTTGGGGAATGCAATGATTTGTTTGCTTGCCAAGCTTTTAATGAGGTTTAAATAAATAAACCAATCTCTTATAATGCAACAGCCAGCAGCCAGTAAGCTTAGCTTAGCATAAGGACTGGAAACAGATGGAAACAGCTAGCCTAGCTCTTTCCCACAAAACAGCATCCACCAACCATCGCCTTAAAGGTATTATTTACATTACATTACATTGCATTTAGCTGACGCTTTTATCCAAAGCGACTTACAATAAGTGCATTCGACCAACAAAATACAAACTTGAAGAAAACAGAATCATATAAGTACATCAGGTTTCATAGAGCTAAAACATTTCAAGTGCTACTCAACTGGCTTTAGATAAGCCAGTCCTTTATTAGTATATAAGTGCTTTGTTAATAATTCTATCGCTCGAAGTGGAGTCGAAAGAGATGAGTTTTTTGTCTGCGCCGGAAGATGTGCAAGCTATCTGCTGTCCTGATTTCAATGGGGAGCTCATTAAGGTCCAGTGTGTAGATTTTGGTGGCATCTAGAAGATAAAGAGCTTCGGAGAACCACAGTGGCCTTCAGGTAATATAAAAAAGGTAAAAGGCCCTCTCTCGAGCCTGAGTTTAGTTTGTCCGTTCGAGCTTTCTTGAAATATGGCAGGTGGTGAAACAGCTCAGCTACCTAGATACCAAGGGCTCATTAAAAGGTAACAAAAACACAACTATTCTTAGATTCAGGTCCTTTTACACTAATTAAACATAGGTATAAACATTATATATTACTTTTCTCTCAGTTTTTTTAACTGGATATATATTTTTGCTTTAATCCATACAAAAACTGAAGTGTAACGATGATATGTTGGAGGCTGTGGGACTTTCTCAAAGTTACCGGTAAATGAATAGTCCACAAAACCACAACTTGTTTGATACTTTTGTTTGAGTTATTTACAGATTAAACATAGGAGATATAAAGAGCTAGTGTATAATTGGGAAGGTGTGATGTGTTCCCCCTGTTTCCAGTCTTTCTAAGAAGCTACGCTAACAGGCCACTGCTCCTGAATTATTATTTAAAAAACTGATATTTGATGAGTGGCATCGATCTCAGCTATCTCAACAAAGAAATACACTGTATTGACTTTTTCTTACATTTCGAAAAGATAACCTGGATAATATAAGACTTTCATCATAATATAAGTCTTTCATCATATTATCCCTTTCATCATTTCTCCCAGCGTGTAGCTGAAACTCACATTCAACAGAACATAAAGAATCATTTCACAATGTTCTGTAACACTGATTTCTCCCCCCGCCGGACCATAATCTGTTTCACATGCTGAGATTTTAATGAAGGAAATAATTTGCCCTCAAGTCCTCTGGGATCCTGTGTGAATTGTGTCGGATGCAGACGCGAGGAGGAAAAAAGAGGAAGGCAGCAGAAAGTGAAGCAGGTGGCACATTCAGTAAAAAGCATCACCTTTCTAACTGATGTTGTTTCATGATCAAATGGCAGCTCCCAAATTCACAACATCGGACACAAAGATTTGGTTTAAGCCTTTCTCCACCATTAAATATTATCAATCACAATTTTAAAACTTCTATTCCCCACTCCCAGTTATTTATTGTCGGCTAAACCAGACATTTAGTCACTCTGCCAAACCAAATTTAGAAACCTACGCACAATCTGACTGGATATATTGTTTGTTGAACATCCCAGTCTAAACTTTAGAAGACTTTCCTTCTCTAGGTTGACAAGTCAGTATGTATGATACTAGGGGGTCTCTAGTGTTTGAGAGGACTTGCATGTATACACTTTTCTTTATTTCTGTTTTTTAATCTTAACTTTTAGCCCTGAAAAATGGGTGTTTTTGAACAATATTTGGAATTGTTATCAATTTCATTAGTACTGATGATCCATGTAGTACTGTAGGTGTGTGTGTGTGCGCGTGCGTGTGCGTGTGTTTGTGCAAGATAAGACACCAATCTCAACAGTCAAAGTTTTTAGTTATACTTTAATACAAATTGCTAAATTAAGTCAAGATTACACTAGAAATTATATTTATAAATCTTCTACAAGGATCAATTTTCTTGCTAGTTGGTGTAAATGCTTTTAACAAGGTTGAGGTCTTGATTAATCCATCGTCACTGAAGAAGCCTTTTCATCATTTCAACTACTTTCCTGGTATTTTTCTTTGAATATCATTAATTACGTTGTTGTATGTGCCTGAATACATACGCTTAATGACCTCTGTGTGTGCTCATATGGGAGAGAGACAGAGTGTGTGAGAGATAGCTGTTAATTGTACATGTATTATAAAACTGTATGTAAATACTTTACCTCACGCTCATGGACTTTTGATAAAAAACTGTACAAAAATGGCAATGAATAGATCTATTTGGGATAAATCTTTGATTCGTTGGTCCCCACGCAAAACTGCTTTTGTAATGACTTCAGGCCAGGATACGTGCAATCGTTTATTGTGCACATTTAATGCGTCATGGTTTGTTAATGTGATTTTATTTCTGATTTGGTTTGGTCAAAGACCAGCTAAGAAGGTTGTTTTCTCAACGCACCATTACTAAGTGTCCCACAGAAAGCACAATCGAAAATGTATCGCATTTTTACTGAGGTGTTCTTTTTTCTTTCCTCTTTGGCTAATCTTCTGTTTTTCTGTTTCTGTGCCGCAGAAGAATCGAACAACTCCACCCCTGAACTGTACAGATTGTGAAAAATGTACATAGGACAAAAATCTAGTTCGAACTCCCATTTTTTGTATGGAGAGAAATTACTTGTGTGAAGAGAGTGTTTCAAATTTGATTGAATATTTAGTAATATTAAAAATGAGATTAAACGCAGTCAATGTGAAAATAAGTGCTGAGAAATATTATTCTTCTGTCTCTTTGGAATAAAAGTGTTGAGTATTAATAAAACATAAGAAATCTCAAACTGATTTGTCTTGTTTTTATCATTTGTTTCGTCAACAGGAGGGTTTGTCACGATATACCGGTGTTGACCGTGACATTTTTTTAAATGATATCAACCCACCTCTTAGATAAATGTAAATTTATCTCTCCATCTCCCTAAAACTTGACCCACAAAAAACACATTTATTGTAATTGTATTGACCGATACCACTATTATGTCTTTCGAATTATGTATTGCAATAATCTATGTTCAATTACATTTTTTCTTAATTAGAATTCACTGAAATTGTGATAGTCCACAGGTTGGCAGCAAGCAACAGCTATGTCTTTCATGTGTGTCTTATATTTGACATTTAAATGTACTGTTTACATGTTCTTATTATGTCCCATGCTGTAGGTCGACAGAGGAGATAATGGCTGCAGCTGATTTTCGTTCTCATGTTGGATAAGTGCTTTGTAGACCAAAGAGAAAATAAATGAAGAGTCCTGAGAATAAAAAGGTGGAGCGAGAGGCAGAAGAAGAAAGAGAGAGATATTGAGGGAGGAAGAAGTGATGCAAACTGAACGAGCAGCAGAGATCAAAGCCCCCCCAAAAAACTCCCTCCTCAGACTCTCTTTACTCTGAAAGCCTTGTCCAGCAACAGGAGTTATTTAAAGAAAGCTGCAGGATTCAAAATGTACTGATGCCTTGTGTGTTTATAGATTTGGTGGGAGAGTTTTAACATCTGCGGTCCGGGAGGCTGAATCAAAACGAGGTGAGGCGGTAGAAAATATCCTTTAATCAGTTTGTAATCTCCTGCTTCTTAAAAAATAAAAATCTTTACTATTTTCTCCAAATTCCTGCTTTACTCCTTACACCGCCCCAACAACCTCAGCATGCATTGCAACACATGTAACTACTTCTTGACAATTAACTGTTACCTAGCAACTGGCTCTTTTTCCAGAGAGGGGGGGGGAGGGGGGTTGTAGAAAGAGAGACAGCGAGAGAGATTTATACAGTATTTCCACAGCATCTTAACTGGATTGGATGCAACAATGCATCGACAAAACAATACCAAAATGGAAAATACAGCCTGAGCTTATAACACCCACGCACAGTAGCAGAGGAGAGAAGTAGAGGCGGAGGGACGGGAGGGGGATAGATGTACAGATTACAGTTTGGAAGGGGTAGATGAAACGCATGTAGAGGAACAGACCGACAGTAAATGTGCAACAGATGCAAAGTTAAAAACGTGAGAAACATCCTGCAGTCTGTGGTGGAGAAGACAAGAGGAGTTGTAGAAGAAGAGGAAAGAAACTGGTTGCTGTAGAAACACACTGCAAAGTTTTAATGAAGGCATAAAGTTTGATGCCTGTGCCCACAACACACACACACACACAAGATCACCATACACAAACAAACAGTATAATTATGTTAGCAGATAATAGGCACCCCCTGCTGGGCCCATGAGGACCGCTCCTGACTTCAGCTGAGAGAAAAAACAAAAGATCAAGCCTCCGAGAATCAGCTGTAATTCCATGTTATGGCAGCAGGAGAGCACTGACACCCTGTGGCAACAACATGGCATCCTCTGGTTCCAGCATGTTGATGAGGACACGGTGCACCGGTACATTGCATTTATAAGTGTAGTTCAAGGCAGAGATAAAGTAAGCTCAGGGGTGAGAGATGCAATTGGAAAATATTAAAACTCAAGGATATACCCTCAGACAAAATACGTTTTCTTTTCATGCACTGATCAATTTAAAGTGTTTGGGCTATTTTGCTCTTCTTTCAGAGAAAGAAGGCACCCAAAAAAAAACAAATTTTAAATGTATATTTTTTTAAACTTTTTCTATTTATTCCTGTAAGCTTCTCCTACATTCAACAATTACTTGCTTCATTTTCACATTTATAAATAACATTTCTGAAAAAAGTTGAAATGTCCCAAAAAACGTGTCTTAATGTAGTCATTAAAGGTGGGGTATGTAATTTATTTATACATAAATATTTATATAAATACATAAAATAATTTCATCTGTGGAAGCCGTAGCACTGTAAAAAGCACGACCAATCATTTTAGCCGGCCCGGTTAAAATAACTGGATGGCCTACCTGCCTGTCAGCCTTCCATCTGTGCACAAACTTATCTCGTGCCCTCATTGGTCATGTGCGCTGGAGGAGGGGCTCTGTAAGGAAGTCTGAAGGAAGAGGCAGCCTCTTCCTTCAGACTTCCTTACAGAGCCCCTCCTCCAGCGCACATGACCAATGAGGGCACGAGATAAGTTTGTG